ATTTTTTCATTTTATATTACAAAAAATTTTTTATAATAATCAATTAATTTTTATTTTTATTTTAGATTATAACGAAAATAATAAAGTAAGTTATTTAATTTGAAATTAATTAGTTACAAATACTAATATTTTATTTTATTTCATAAATTAGAGATAACATACATAATATGCATATATATTTTAAATAAAGTAAATTTTTGTGTTGTCGTATTGCTTTTGTAATGAAATTTTGTAACTAATGCAAAATTAAAGTTTAAAAGTTCATTTTTCGTTAGTTAAAATTTTGTGTCACTACTTATCCGGTTAGTTTGGAAAATAAAAGAAATTGTCCAATTAAAATTATGTATATAATACACGTGATCTGATCGTCCAATTAAAATTAAATTATATTATACCACGTGATCTGATCATCAAAATAAATAATAAATATAACGTAGAAAATATTTGTTTATTTTTTTATTTCTTCAAACTTTTTTTCTTTTTTCTTCAAACTTTTCTTTTCGTTTATTTATTTTTTAACTTTTTTACATTACTAACTTACTTTTTTCACTACGCAGAATTTATTTTTTAACTTTTTTACATTACTAACTTACTTTTTTCACTACGCAGAATTTATTTTTTAACTTTTTTACATTACTAACTTACTTTTTTTACTACGCAGAAAATATTTGTTTATTTTTTTTAACCTTTTTTTTCTTCAAACTTTTTTTCTTCAAACTTTCTTTTCGGTAAGAAAATTTATTTTTTTTTATCCTTTTATTTATTTTCTAACTTTTTTACATTTCAATTACTAACTTTCTTTTTTCACTAACTTTATACTTTTTTTTATTATTACTAACGCTAACAAATGCTAACAATTACTTTCCATACTACTTACTAATTTGCTTTCTTTATTAACTTCATACTTTTTTATTTTTAATATTAATAATTTACTTACAATAATTTATTTTACTTTCTTTTTTTTTATTATTACTAACGCTAACAAATGCTAACAATTTACTTTCCATACTACTTACTAATTCTAATTTTGCTTTCTTTACTAACTTCATACTTTTTTATTTTTAATATTAATAATTTACTTACAATAATTTATTTTACTTTCTTTTTTTTTATTATTACTAACGCTAACAAATGCTAACAATTTACTTTCCATACTACTTACTAATTCTAATTTTGCTTTCTTTACTAACTTCATACTTTTTTATTTTTAATATTAATAATTTACTTATACCAATAATTTACTTTACTTTCTTTAATATTTGATTTTATTTTCTTTATACATTTATAGTTTTAATTTATAGTTTATATCTAATACAGCGATAGTATATTATTTATGAATTATTATATATATATATTTATATTTTTTTATAGTTTTCTACATTTATAATTCATATCAAATATAGTGTTTTATTTTGTATATTAAATTAATAAAAATCCATAATTTCACTTTATAAATTTGCTTGTCGTTAATCGTTACTGACCAAATTTTAACTTACTGTAATCATAATTCCTAAAATTCGGCCCACAATAATTCCTAAATTCGGCTTACAATAATTCCTAAATTTGCCATAATAATTCTTAATAATTCGGCCCACAATAATTCCTAAATTCGGCCATAATAATTCCTAATAATTCCTAAAATTCGGCTCACAATAATTTCTAAATTCGGCCCAGAATAATTCCTAAAATTCGGCCCAAAATTTGGCTCAAAAATTAGACAATAATTATATAAAATCAGGTCATAAATTGGATGATTATTGTATGATTGCCATACAACTATTGTGTGATTTATTGCAATTTTTAGCACAATTATTGTATGGTCAAATATACAGAAATCATAGTGAATTTAATTGGATGTTTTTTCAACAAAAATCACACAGGCTTTTTTCATAGGGTCGTCAAAGTAATCGCAAGAAAAAATCTGTAGCTTCAATATCATAAAAATTGAATTAACGAAATAAATCTGCTTTTTTGTAAATTTATAAAAGCTTTTCTCTCATATTTAACCTGTTATGAAGAAAGTTTCCAAAATTAATCTAAATGTCGGATTATCAAGCTGTAACTTCAAGAGTTAGTTTGGTAAGAATGCAAATAATAATTTGACCTAAAAATCGGTTATAATTAGCTACTTGGAAAATATAATGCAGGTTTTAGTAATACTCTTATACCCGTTTTATATTTTATATTATGAATGAAATATTTATAAACATTATTATCTCTTAAATAATTCCTTAACAAAAACTTAAAACACAAGAAAAAAAAAATCTTGTATCATAATAGTGTATGGCAAATTCTCACCTTAAGTGTTAAATAATTTAATAATAAATATTGCTGTTTTATGTTATTTTTACTTTGCATCTTTTATTAAAGTTCTTTTAAACTATATTATTAAACAACTAGTATATACATTAAGATTATAAGTAATGGAATTTATCAATCGTATAAATTACAATAATTTTAAATATAATAACATTGAATGGTAACTTTTAAACATCATTTGGACCAAATGTAGTTACATATGTTTGTCCAATTAATAAATTCCTCGCAAATGCAGTAATTTCCATTTGATGACCAAAAGAAATTCCAAAGGAAAGTGGCCTATCGAAACCTAAATGAACTTCGGGAAGGTCAATTTGCATAGTCCCTACTAATTCCATTCCAGGTGCATCACAATATTCTGCATTATATTCAGGAGTTCTATATAATTGAAAATTATATACTTTTTGGCATGAAAGAGGGAGATTATGATGATCTAAGCTAAATTCTTGATCAACTTCTACTTTCGTCCCTCTCTTCACCAAAGGATTAAATTTAAAATTTTTTCCATCTGTAGTTTTACTATAAGAGGAGTCAATATCTTCTTTCCAATCGAAGCACAATTTAACTCCATAAGTATATTTAAGAACAATTGAAAAAATACCACTCTCTTTATCACTCTCCTTATATTCTAAAATATTCGACCCATAAACTACAGCCTCACGTGAAATTGCTGCAATAGGTTGAGCGGAAACCTCAATAAGTTTTACGGTATCTTGAAATTCCTTTTTAATTCTATTTTGTAAATATTTGTTTTCACAAAAACCTCCAACTAAGAACATTTTTGAACAAGTTTCTTGAATAACATCAAGTTGCTTACGTATCAAGTGGAGAATACTTTCAATTATAGGATCAAACATTAACTTTATGTCATTATATTTAATATTAATCATCCATCCATTTTCTTCCATCATTTCCCTGATTTCTTCATCGACATATTGCAATAAAGCTGGAGCATACTCTTCAATATCTAGTTCATAATTAAATTCTCTATTATCTCCTGTAAAAGGTACTTTACATTTTCACAGTATCCTTGGACCAGAAATTGAAATTGGTTATAATAATTTTCCATTAATAGTTCTATGGCTCGAGTTCCAAGTTTTTTACGTAAAAAATCAATAAACATCTTATCTACAAATGTACTTCCACAGAAATCTCTAATACGTTCTTTAACTTCGCCTAATTGTAATGGATTAATTCCAACTAACTTGCGAGTAGTTAAGTCAACAGTACCACCACCACAATCAACAACCATAAAAGTCACTGATAAAAATTAGTTAAGTTAATTATTCTTTTTAAGATAATTAAATTCATAGTAATAACTTACTTCCTATGTCATCCTCTTGTAATTCATTTAATTTATTTTCCATACAATAAATTGCTGCAGCTTCAGCTGTAATAAAAATTAGTTTATTAGTTAAAATCCTAGCTTTTTAGATTCTTCTTACATTACTTACGTTCCGTGGTAAATTGTAGATTTTTCGAATTAAAATCATTAATGAGACCTGCATTATAAGCACATTCTCTCATAATACCTTTATCTTTTTCTGAATATTCTGCAGGAACAGAAAGAACTAATAGAACATTTTCAAAAAAATTAACACTCCAATGGGTTGCAATTTTATCTTTAATGACCTTAAATTAAAATTAATAAGTATAAAAAAAAAATATAACTTAGATTATGCTATAACTAATTTTGATTCATACCTTTCCAATTTCTCTAAGATAGTCAGTAATAGCCTTTTTATAATCAACTGGAAGATGCGGTTTTAAATGTTCATCTAGGTTGCCCAACCATAATTTGAATAATTCGACAGGCTTATTTCTTTCGATTCGACGATTTGGTCTACTGGCTAAAGCTGGAGCACCCCAAAGTAACACATTATTATATTCATAATCATATTGAAGAACTGTATTTGTTTTAAACTGGCTAATTCCCCTAGGCCATATTTCATTTGAACATATATTTTGTTTATTAGCAACATGGCAATAAGAGAATCCGGAATAAGTTAATCCAAAGTCTAACCCAACGACGACTTTAATATTAGGATAAGGTAGTGATTCATCTGGATCTTTTTTAAGGTATAAAAATATAATTAATTTCGTTATTAAACAATATTTGCAAATTTTTTAAAAAAATATACTACATACGATAATTAACATCATACCTTTGTTTGAAAAGTTTGCAAAGAAATCTTCATTATTTTCTTTAAAAGTTTTAATAATATTCTCATCAATTTCTTCTAATTTTAATATCCCTAAATTTTTATCTAAATTTTGAGACATCATTTCAAGTTTTTGTAATTGTTGTAATTCTTCATTCCTTTGATTTTCCAAATTTGAAACATGTTGTTGAAATTCTTCAAATTTTTTTTCCTTTTCTTCAAGTTTTTCTTTTAATTCAGAATTAATTCGTGAAACTTCTTTATTTTCTTCGATTATATTTAAATTTGTACGTGAAATTTCTTGATTTTTTTCATTTAATTCTGAATTTAAACGTAAATTTTCTTGATTTTTTTCTTCAAGATTTTTACATTGTTGTTTAATCCTTTGATTCTCTTCTAATAAATTAATAAATTTATTATTTAATTCATAATAACTAAATCCAAGTTTTTCAATAACTTGAAGAGGTTTATCAGAAAATAATTTTTCAGAGGAATCATCTTTTGAACGTTCATTAGCCATAATAAACTCTTTTTTTTAAAAAAAAAAAATTTTTAAGGAGACATGTCGCACATGTCGCACAACCGATTACTCAGCGTAACTTGCATCATATTGTACTACATATACTAAATTTTTTTTTTTCACCACAAAAACAATGAGTTCCCTTTTTTTCATTTCCTTATATATAGTTTATTCTAAGTGGTAGCAATTTTGTATAATTGTATCGTCTATTTATTCATTAAATTAATTATTAAATTAAAATTATTATTTTATAATTTTTTAAAATAGAAAAATTAAAATTTAACACTTTGCTCATAAGCAATTGATTGAAGTCGATAACGATATTAAAATTGCCTTTGTCACTTTAAGAGCACAAAAATTACACCTAGCTAGTGACTTTTAATGGCAATTTTTTATTAGAAAAATTTTCTTTTTATGATTTTTGTTGCGCCACAATCAGTTGGCTGCTCCACAAACCTGGCATAATAAACAAATGCTCATCCAACATCTAGCAATTATATGAAAAAATCAATCAGTTCTTACAGAGATTATCAAACGACCAACCCAGGGACCCTTCAGAAACACACGAAGACCCAATGATGGACAAAACACAAATTCACCACAAAATAATCCAGGACAATCTCGGACCTCTTACAACAAACGCCCTTCCTTCAAACAACTGATCGTCAGATTTGAAGATAAATCTGCTGTTGATTATATTTACGATATCAACCTATGGAGTATTATTATAGAAAATTTCTCTGACGAATCCTGCCTGGAAATCATAGCACCAAAAAAGATGCTCAAAATTCTATACTACTACTGGCTTACCGCTAAACACAAACGTGCATGACTTAACACCAATCATCAAACATTTCACGATTATCTTGCACCAAAAGTACTTATGTATACGTGCATCCCAATGATTATCATCTTCTAATAATAGAAAATTTTGTTAATGAAAATGTTCATTAAGTAAGAAAGGATATTCTTTAGCATATCAAGCATATCAAGTGTAAGTTTCTTTATAATAAAGTGTATAACCAATTCTTCCTCCAGAATTAGTTTACTTTATTCAAAGAAACTTCTCTAGGTTGTATATCCTTTGTGGAGCTGCATAAGAACCACTTTGCAAAAGCAACATGGATCAAACTGAAATCACTCTGTGTATATATATATAATGTCACCCTTTCACTGCATCAAACAGAGTGATCTCACAAAGGCAACCTAAAGGAAAGGGACTTGCCACACTAAGAAAATGTAAAGAAAATATACTTACTAGATTTCGTTTGTTATTTCTATTATGTCGTCTTACAGTATATAGAGGAAGTGCTTCAATTTTAGTATGGTAAAGGTGATTGCAACAAGTACTTTACTAACAACCTAAAATTTTCTAAATACATCATGAAATTAATATTACAATAATATTACAATACATTGTATACAAACCATCATAAGATACTCGTTATTGGTCTTGTAGGGCTTCGTACAATAGCCAGTATAACATTAATTGTAATATTGCCTTATTAACGTTGTATATTTAATATAAATTGTAACAAATTGTTGTAAAATATATTATAAGTTATATACGTTGACTTCAAAGATGATCCCTCATGATCAACGATCACCTGATTAATCTAACGTTCTCCGAACTGTTGTCTCAACAGTAAAGAATTGTAATCTTATTCTTAGTAATAAACTCACTCTCCTTCAAATAGATTTAATTCTCCTTGCTTCTCCTATTTCTCAACAAAATAAATATGCTTCCAATCTTACTATCGGTTTTGTTTACCAGAAGATCATTTCTTCGTGCAGTTACTTTGCATGCGTTCATTTCTCTTTCGCAATTCTTCATCTTTTGGATTTAATTATCAATACTATTAAAGAAACAAAAAAAGAACTCTCCAAATCCTGCGTAAAGAATATAGAAGCCGCTGTCTAAGAAAAAAATAACGAAGTGTGAGTAGCTGTTCGTTACTACAAACAAATTAAAGAAAAAAATATTTACCAAGATTTGAAAACCAATACGTCTAAAGAAATCCAATTTTCTACGCGTCCAAACTCCAAAGACCTACTAAAAAAAAAGAGACAAATGGTTAGTAAGACTTAAAAAAAAAAAAAATTAAAAAAAATCGTTTCATTGATACATATGAAATACGAATCCTGCAAAAAAGAAAATAGAAGAACGTAAACAAAAGGTTTCTTCTCTTATAAAATATAAAAAGGGATTGAAGTTTCATAATGAAACTTACTTTGTCTTTTCCGATGTTATCCTATCCTATCGTATCTGAGTTGAAGCCAAAATTTCTATAAAAAAAAGAAAACATTAGAAATTTTTTTAAAGGTTCAAAATAATTTTTCCAAAGCTTATTACCTTATGGCAGCAATTACTCACATGTGAATTTCCTTGTAACGCTAAGAAGAATTTATCTTAATATCACCAAACACATCTTTATCATATATCAAAATATTATGTTTTTACAAAGAAGAATAATGTTAAAACTGTTTTTCTTAAAATTTCGAAATTTTTTTTTTCAAAATTTACCTGAAAAAAGAAGTTAAAAAAAATTTTTTAATGTTGTTTTCAAGATTATTCAAAAACTCGTACAATCGGAAGTCAGAACCTACAAATAATATAAAAAAAAAAATTCAGGAAATTTTTTTTTAAAAAAAGAGGATCGAAAAAATTTCGAAACTTGCCTGTATAAACAGAGCTAGCTCCCCTTACTGAATTTGTTACCGTAACTGAGAATTTTCAACGAAAACTTAAGACAACGTTGACTTTTCTCAAAATAATTACGAGTTTATATAATTACCAAAGAGATCGTTTACACACTTTAAGGCCTGAAGTCCTACGCGTCCAATTATCCAAAAACAGCCGTCTAAAAAAAAGGAAGAAAACGAAACTTTATTAGTAAAAGCTTCGTTAAATAAAAATTTTCTGATTCCTAGAACAAGTATCCATGAACGAGATATAAACGCGTTCATATTTAACATTTAAAAGTCGCGAGTATCTGAGTCTGATTTTAAGCTTTTAATCAGTTAAACGACATTGAGTATGATATATACCTCCGATGTTGTATAAACCGCATGTTATACTTCGGACTTTTTTTTTGAATATAAACTTTATTAATATTGTAATACAACGCCATGGGCTATTACAATGTACGGTAAACTAAACTCTACCCCTGCTTTATCATCCCGTGACTAAACTAAACTTAACGAAACTTTTTTACATGAGAACACGTGACTTGAGAAGCGATTCTGATTACCAACAATCCTTCATGTGACTGGCTGCGGTTGCCTAGGTTTCTGATTTATTAATTTTTGACACTTTGACGCTTCGTCGCTTCGTTCCCCCCTATTGTCATAAATTTTTGTTGACCCGTGAACACTAATAAACCTCATTCACCCTCATGACGACCGACTTCGGTTTTCGGCCAAACATCTCAAATCACTCTCATTCCCCCGGAAAGCCTTCATTACCATTTTTGGAGTCCAATCGCGTGCTAAATTTTTGCTGTGCCGACCAAACAACAGTAGTAACGAAAAATTCCCAAGAGCCAAAGAGCAAAACCGTAGATGTCTACTATTAAGGTCTATATTTCTTGTTTTTGTCAAAATTATTTATCACTTGCCGTAACCTATTTCTGACAAAGCCTTGTCAACATGTAGAGCTTTATGGTTCGTCTTTGCCAGCTGAAGAAATGAAAATTTTTGTTTCGTCAAAAACTTTGTGAAATAATGCTAAAGGTCTAATAAAGTTTATATTAAACTGTTTCTAAAAGAGTGAATAAACAGTTGGTGATGTTGTTGTTCGTTCGAAACGAACTTTTCTATACTTTTTGAACTTTTCCACCTTTTGTTCCGTTCGGACTTTTTAATGGTGGATATAAAAAATTTTTTTATCGTAGGGCAAAATCTAAATTTAAATTTTTACCATTTTAACTTGTAATAAACCGAAATCTTCCATTTCTCAATACTTAATTTACTCATTATAAATAAAAAAACATTTACTTGTTTATTTATTTATGAAAAGCTTTCTTTTATTTCAAGAGTTAAAAAGTTATTTATTACAAAGGTGGATTAACTATTGGAAACGTAATTAGATTTGTGATTTGTTAGTATTTTAAAGCAAAATTTACATTGAATATATTAGTAAAACTTCTTTTTATCTTTTGAATATCCAATTTAGCGAAAATTCTGATGAATCTTTTTTTTTGTAGTGTGCCTTCTGGGACTTCTTTGAAGGCTTGAGAAACGAAAGTAGCTTTTTATATTTATTTGTTTGTTTGTTTTTCATTATGGAATGTTTGTAAATTTATTTTAACTTTATTTCTTGTGATAGTGCTTTCAGAAAATCTGAAAAAATGAACATCATTATATGACAGATAACATTCTTAAATGAAATGGATCCCATGACAAAAATAATAAAATTACAATATAGGTCGTGATTTCAAACTTAAATTTGTTTTGAAAAGCCTCCAAGGTGCTTATGTTTTCTAATAATCGGTATTTGGCTTTATCTTTATCAATTGTAATCGCTTTTTAACTCCTAAATATCTATTTTGTAGCCCGACCGAACTCACTTTACTCCAAGCCTCTTATATCTCAAGAGCCAGAAGACATATTTTTAATAATTATAATAATATAATAAGGTATCTATTAACGATTTTTATTAATTTAAATGTACTGTGAGATCTGATATAATTACTTTATTATTTATATATTGATTTTGTATCAAAATTTCAAAATTTTAGATTTAAAAATCAAACTTTTATTAGGGTAATAATCCAAATATGTTCATTTATTAAATTATGTCTATTGATTAATGACAGTAATTGTTATCTAATTTTATATTTAATTAAAGTTAAATTCTTTAAATTCTCAGATTAAAGAAAAGGAAGATAATGTTTTATTTTGAAATGTATTTAGTATATATTTATTATAAAATGAATAAGCGATGATTGTTAATAAATGCTTGATTATTTCTTGATAGTATTTTTTAATTCAGGTTAAATTCCAATAATACCATTTGACTAGATTGATTAGTTTTTATATATTTCATATGCAATATAAATTCCAGATGAAAATACTGTAACCATATAAATAAATCGAATTTGTATAAATGGCGTAATATTTATTAAAATTTACCCCTTTCGTTCATCGAGAATCTCAAGATCTTTGATAAACGTTACCAAATATATATTGTTGATCACATAAATAAAGAACCTGATTTTATTGTGCAACATTAATTTATATAAATCTGACAAAGTTTCAAAATTTATCCGACCTTTTTCAATTTTTTTCTATATTTTTCTATATTAAAAAAGTTTGAGAAAAAAAGAAAAAAGGGGGAATAGGTATGTAATTATATATGAAAATTTATTATTGCCGTATTATCAATTATATCAATTATTGATATTTTTACTGATTAATTCAAATCATTACAGTTAATAAATTTCCCGTCAAAGTAACTATAGATAGGAGTAATGTTAGAACTATACTTCAGATGGAAGAATTTTTATGTTAATATGACATTTTTGGAAAAATAGATTGGAAAGATTTAGCTATAATCGGTGATTTATGCATAACAAACGGATTTTATTCTAAAATTGGGTTTCATATTTTTTTTTTAAATATGAAATTTAAACCTTTTTAAATCACGTAAAATGAGACTTTATCACTGTAATCGCGCATAAAATTTATTATCCTTTCACCTTTTTTCATACCCTTCAAAATACTTGTAAAAAAACTTTTCTTTCAATAAAAAATAGAGATCTTAGATGAAATGAGAATGCTCAGAATATTCAGGTAAAATTTAAAAAAGTTTTGTTAAAATTATAGTTTAAACTAATCAAATTTTATTATATAGATATTACCAACTAATAGTGATTCTAGTATTGATAATGAAAGTATAAAAGAGGTAGAAATGGCATATTTTACGAAAAATCTTGGTGTATCAACCATTATTCATTTAACTGTACTTATGGAATGTCCCGCAACATCTCCTGATGGTGTTGTAACAGTTTTTAGTATACAAGGATGGAAAAATCATATGAATGCATTTAATGATGTAAGTTAATACTTAAAACACTTATTTATTTTTATTAATTAATTAATTAATTAAAATGATTTTTACTTTTTAGGTACAATATTCTATTGGTAGCGATGGTATTCAGAAGTGTCCTTTTTTGGCAACATAATCACTCCCGAAAGACCTCCAGATAATATCAAAGATAATTGGCAAATGATGATTAAAGAAGCAATTGAAAAAGATGATGTAGTAACATCCGGATCAATAATTCAAGGTATTATTAATAATAATGAATTTTAAATAAATTACTTATTTTTAATATATAATCGCAAATGATTAATCAAAAATTATAATTATTTTTAGGAAATATGCTAAAAGCATATTTTAATAAAGAAACTCTTCAAGAGATCCATATGTCATTAAATAATATTGATAAATTACGTTATTTAGTTGCAAAAACTTACAAGAATCTTTATCCTTTTGAACAACATATCTTTCAAAGCGTATATAGTAAACAATTTGACCTTCACAATTATGTCATAAAAATTGGTAAGCTTTTGATTTATTTGATTTAATTATCTTAGTTGTTATAATAATCTAATTTAATAATTGATTTCTTTAGATTTTTTCGGAAATGAACTTGTTCTTATTGTATGCATGCTTGAAAAACAAGCACAATTACTATTACAACATCTTGAATGTTTCAGATCGATTTGTTCTTTAAACGTGTTAAAAGGAATATTAATGAATTTGAAATAAATTCATATGACTATTACCACAATCTAAGTAAGTAAACATCAAATATTTATTTTTTTTTTTAAAAAAAAAATAATAAAATTTATTAATATTATGTATTTCTATTTAGTTTTGTCTTATTGTCGTATATACAGTATACAAATGTGAATTCCTCAGATGGATATTGTCGCTTATTTATAACTTTGTTTGATATTATCAAACAATTAACTGGAATGCTCGTTCGAGTTAATCATATTCATGGTAATAGTTGGAGTTGTTTTTAGGAGATCTTGATATGGGGCAGATGAAAGGTTTGGGATTGGCACTACATAGTTTAGATACAACACGCGAATGGGAAGTTCACATTACAAATATTTTTTTCAAAGGTAAAAATTTCAAAATCATAATTATTATTTTATTTATTTGTTTTTATTTAATTTTTAATTTTTTTTTTTGATTTTAGAAATGTGAATAATAAACGATTTAGTGATCCGATTAAAAAAAAAAGATGATTTCGTTACTAAAAGCAGAAAGCAAAGAGGAATTGAATCAAATTTTTTCAGATATTGAAAAATCCGATGGAAATGACGTGAAAGGTACATTACTAAATATTGTTTTTTTTTAAAAAAAATCTAATTTTAATTTATTGTTTAAATTAGATTGGATTGACTATTATCAAATAACTCACATTTTAGCAACAATGAATTCTTTAGCATCATTAATGGATGTTGAAATATGGAATCGGTATGGAAATAATATCAACACAGCAGAAGCTGCGCACTCTCTAGTTAATAGAACTGGAAAACAGCTAAAACTTTTATCAGCTATTTTACGGTTTGTATTTAAAATATATTTTATATAGAGATAAAAATTAAATTTAATTATTAAATATTTTTTTCAAATTTAGAGGTCAAAAATTAGATGAACGTCATTTAAAAATAATCGAAATTCAAGACTTTTCAGCTGTCCCTTATACAAAACAAGATAAAAGCCAAGTTAAAAGACAACTGTTTGCAATAAATCGAAAAGGTAAACTTTTAGTTTGAAATTTAACATTTAAAGTTAAATAACTAATATAATTTAATTTACAGAAAAACGAAATCAAAAGAATAAAGAAGATAACAATTCATTAAAAAGGAAATATGGTCAATCCAAAATCCAACCTATTGATGAAAATAATTATGAATTTAAAAGTGATAATTCACGATCGTTTAGAGCTTGAAATAGAAGAACGAAAATGAGTTTAAAAGAGCGTGATATAGCTTTGAGAAAAGCAGTGGCTGAAGTAGAGGCTATTGAAATTACTAATGAAAAAGCAAATTAACCTTAAAAAACAATTAGGTTTATGTATCGATAATGAAATAAATAAACCAGTTTATAATTAGTAAATATTTTTATTTAATTAAATAATTTCGTTTAATCATTAAAAGTTATTAACGGGAAGTAATTTTCGATAATATTTTATTTATCGAAATTATGAACTTATGATATGGTAGTGATACAATAATAATTATTACTTTATCGGTAATTATCATTTTTTTTATTAAAAAATTCTGGATTCTTTTTTTATTCCAAATAAATATAAAGTGTTGCAACATCATTCTTAATAATTCTTTTAAATATACTTTTTTATCGAAATACACTATTAACTTTGATAGAAACATTAACTAATAATGTTTCCCTTTCTTCAAGGATTACTAGATACTAAAATTTCGAAATTAATTTAAAAAATCTTTAACGCCAACGTATCTATTTTTTCTACTTTTATATTAAAGAAACAGGTAAAGGAGGTTATTCTTCAGTATATTCAGCAATATGGAAGGGTGGTCCATTATATTATGATTATCATAGTAAGAATTGGATAAGAAAAACAGATAAAAAAGTTGTTTTAAAGTGCTTAATTACTAGTGAATTTTTAAATGTGGTATGTAACATAAATATTTATCTAAAATATTCTATATTATATGTTAAATTTTTTTATATTTAATAGGTCAAAGCATACTTAACAGATAAAGATAGAATTTTTCTTGAAGTATATGGAATATCTCAAAATCCTGATACAAAAGAATATGTTATGGTTTTTCATTATAATAAGATGACTGAAATTTATGAAAGATATGCGAAGAAATCTTTTACAAATTGGTTTTATAATTTGCCAACTAATGATTTTATTCAACAAATGCAATTAAAAATTAATTATTATTATGATATAATATTTGAATGGATACCATATGATCAACTTGATGATATTGAAGAAATAGGCAAAGGTGGGTTTGCTACAGTATATTCAGCAATATGGGAAGATGGTCCATTATATTATGATGATGATAATAAGGAATGGTCAAGAGAAAAAAATAAAAAGGTTGCTTTAAAATGTTTAAATAGTTCACGAAATATCAATGAAAGATTTCTAAATGAGGTATGTAATAAATCTTTTTAGAACATTAATTTAAAAAATTTCAAATATAACAATTATAACAATTACATTTCTTTGTTTAATAGGCTAAAGAATATTCAATCGATAGTCTTAATATTCTTAGAATACATGGAATATCCCAAAATCCAGATACTAAAAATTATATTCTGGTTCTTCAATATGCAGAAGGTGGTGATTTTAATAAATGGATAAATGGAAATTATGAAAATTTTGATTGGACAAATAAAATAAAAGTATTAAATAATATTATTAATGGTCTTAAAGAAATTCATCAGAAAAAGAAAGTTCATCATGATTTTCATACAGGAAATATATTATTTCTTTTTAGTAGCACTAGTGATATTAGTGATTATACACGTATTTCAGATATGGGATTATGTGGAGAAGTTGACAATATTGACGAAGAAAAAATATATGGAGTTATGCCTTATGTAGCTCCTGAAGTATTAAGAGGAAATCTTTATACTCAAGCAACGGACATTTATAGCTTTGGAATGGTGATGCATTTTATAGCAACCGGAAGACAACCTTTTGCTGATCGTGCGCATGATGAATTTTTGGCATTGGATATATGTAAAGAAGAAGTTAGACCCGAATTAAATGAATTAGAAGCGCCAAAAACTTATATTGAGTTAATGAAAAGATGTTGGGATTCAAATCCAAATAATAGACCAAATGCAGCCGAAATAAGTGATCAAATACGTTTTTGGAAAAATGTTGATTTTGAATGTATAGAAAATTATCGAAAATCAAATCTTTCTGAAAGAAAATCATTAATAATTCATCCGCAAGCTGTTTATACATCTCGAATACTTAATCTTTATACAAAAAATCTTTCAAAAAATTATATCTCTAATCATTCAGACTGCGCAATTGTTGATTAAAATAAGCAATATTCCTCTTTTCTCTCGTGATTTTAATTCTTTCTTACATATATTTTGTTCAACACTGATTATAGAGTACATGTAAATTTTTTTTTACATAAATAAAATCGGTTTGTAATTGAACAAATTCAAAATTAGTCTTTATTATTATTATTATTATCTATTGATATTCGTTAAAAAATAAATAAAAAAGGGTAAGCTTCATGATTAATAAGAAAACTAAACTTTTTTACAATAGCCTATAATAAATGCGGAATAGATCAGCGCAGACACCACGCGTTTCATGTCATTTTATCATCTGACGGGAACATTTTGACAATTGCATTGCATTAAATATAATTTTTATGAGAATATCAAAGAAATTAAAAGAATTATTAATATTTGTTTGTTTGCGACATGTATAAACTAATTCATACTTTTTTCAGATCTCATGACTAAAATAAATACTAAAAACCGTCATACTCTTCATATAAGATTATATAATGTGTTGAAATAACCTATTAAAAAAAAAACATTTTTGGCATATTTCTTAGATAGAGTTCTTATCTCAGCTGTACAATAAACACATCAAACGTTTTTTTTGAGAGGAAAAAATATTCCGGTTATAAAAAAAATTCTACTTTTTGGTAACAAATGAAATTAGTTTTTTAATTTGCCACGTTATTTACGCTAAATAAATTACCGCCAAATGTTATTCATTCACATTTTATTAAAAATTGGCTTAACTATATGGCTATAGTGTTACACTATTTCAATCAGCCAAAACAAAACTTTGTTAATCATAACAAACATGTCGGTGAATTGTATTTTGGTAATATTTATATTTACTTCAACATATTATTCGAAAAGACAAAGAAAATAAAAATAAATTAAAACTAAAAATATCCAATTGTTTGCAAAGCCATTTCTATCTTTCTTTATAGACTATAATTTTAGAAAAAATTTTATCTTACTTTTTAAAAGTTAAAACTAGCTGTTAACCTGTAATATCAAAAAAAAAAAATAATAATAATAATGATGCATCGTAGAACTACTGGCTTGATCTAAACATCCAAACCTAAAAGAGTGCTTACCGTAACACTGCAGTATCGATCCGATCACTGATCCAAAATATAAAAAAATTGAAAAAAACCAATGTTAATAATTATATAATATTTTAAATAAAGGAATCATTTTTAAAAAAAAGCCTTTTAAAAGAAACACTCCCCGCCACTTTTCTTTATTCTAACAAATTAATTATTCTTTCTTTTTTTTGTATTTATCAAAAGAAAAGAACAAAAACGAATTTTTTTTTAAAAGATAAACAAAAAATTTTTTTTTTTTCAAAAAAGAAATCACAAAAAACCGGGAAGAAAGGACTTTTTGTATAATTCAATTAATTCATTTTTAATACTATCAATATTTTTTTGATATTTTTTCACTTACTAGCTAAACGCTTATATTTATCTTACTGGAAAGTTCATTTATGTTCTTACATATCATATCATTTATAATATATTTTGTTAGATATGCAGAATACAATCTTTAAGTACGCACATATTATCATTTATTATAAAGAAAAAAAATATTATGTCAAAGAATAATTCGATGAAATATACTTTTAAATAGTTATAATAATTATAAGCAACTGATCAAAGTATTTAAATTAAAAATAACGAGAAAATATTTATTAGTAGGTAGTTAATCAAATGTTTAAAAGAAAAAATTTCGAATAAAGAATATAAGCAATTGATTGTGTCGGTATTTTAATTATATAAAACGAAAATAGACGTATATATGTATATGTATAATTTGTTAACGAAAAATAAAGAGGATGAAAGGTTTATTAAAGAAATATACTTTATTTTTAAACACCACATATATACTCAAGATCTATCTGAAAAAATTGTTTGTGATAGTTACAATCAGCAGTAATCATGCCCTTAACGTTAATATAGCACGTTAAAATATAATAAGAGAAATAAAATATTTCAATTAATATTCATCCTAGATATAATATATGATTATAAATATATTTCATCTGCATGTCTGTTACTCTAGAAAGATATCAAAAATAGGTATAATGACAAAAAAAATTCAAAATTATCAAAAAGATTAGAGTTAAACTAATTAGATATTACATACACAATAGTTTCTGCAGAAAATAACTGTGCTACTCTAAAGCAATAATATACAAATATATGCAACCAAACAAAACTTATCAACTAGAAATAAAAAGTATGGCAAAAGTTGGAATTTATGAGGCTGGAATAAGATAAAGCCAATGCCATCCATAGATTATATGTTAAAGTGAGAGGAGAAAAAGAATACTTTTATAGGTAATAAATAAATAACAACTTTTTTTTTCTCATATTAATATAAAAAATTCCCACAACTTAATTATATAATAATTATCATGTGCTTTGTCAAGTAAAGCATCAGGTCCTGCCTCTAACTGCAAATTATAATTATTCATTAATGACAGGTATTTTTTCACCTGGTGTTTACCATACAAATCAAAAGAAATTAGCATTGTTTATTGTTATCCATCCTTATTTGCTATAAGGATATTCGAGGGTTGAAGATTACCAAATATAAGGTTCACTTCACCCCATTAAATATATTCTGAGAATTTTGTGCTAATATTATTTTTCTTGTTAAGAACAATACTAATGACATAATCTGTTATAATCACTAAATTTTTGGAGTTCATTAGGCATGCAAATGTATAACAGCTGTGAAGCAAGTCTTTTCTGAGTATAAAGTTGATGAAGTTGATATGTATAAACATAAGTAAATTTTTTAATATCCCGGCAACAGTCTTTGCATCACCACCTTCCACAGTTTCCGTACAAAAATAATAGAGGCTAACAAGAGTTAAGGTTGGAATAACTTTGGTAATATCAGCTAGTTTAGTAACAGAATTAATATAAACTCCAGAAGCAATGAGATCTTTAACGCTTAACTCCTTATCAACTGTTACTTTTACCTTATATTCTCAAGTAAATAATTTACAACAATTGCCTGTCCATCCATTGTTTTAGGCTTCCAGGCAAAATTTGAGGATTCTTCATATTGATAGAAATACTTAAAAAAAATGGTTTGTTCTTTTCAATTAACTTATTAAGATAGGGAAAAAATTTCTGTTCAGGTGGGATCAGTTTCAAATCCTTGTAGAAATTTTGAGTTGGCAAATAGCAAGGTTTGTACAGTACTTAAAAAAGCTGAACAATCAATCCAATCCAATTGGTCATTATTTTCCATATTTATAGACTAATGGAATAAAGTCCATCAATGGCTGAACAATTACTTTTTTAAGGAACATAATATATCCAAGGACACATAACCATGTTCCTGCCACAGTGATAATGAGTGATGGTACACAACAACATTTTATAGAATTGGACTCTTAGAGACTTAGAATACATAAGTAAGTAAGTAACTACATAGGAACATGTCAGATATGAATTTGTATAGTGCACAATGAACTAAAGAATTGAATAACTTACAATAGATTGTGACCAGTAATCTCAGTAAAAAATGGTGGCTTGAATAGTTGGTTCACATCCTCCTGAACCAATCTCATTCTTTACTTCAAGAAACAATTAATAGCTGATATATGATTTTGAAACTTTGGTTACTGACTCCATCACATACATATTTTCCATCATATTGCTGCAGAATTATAGGGTCTAACTTTTGTGAATCAAATGTAAATGATGCTTTAAATTAAATACTCCTTTGATATTATTTTTAGTTATATATAGATGATGATATATATAATCCAATATAATTATTACACCTCTTAATAGATTGAGCAATAATAACTCAATCCTTCATGCTTGCGAGAGTCTTTTTCTAAAGACTTTCCTGCATTTATTTTTGATTTCATAATATTGTGTTGCTTCACAAATAAAATCCTGGGCCCACATGTAAAGGTCAAAAGGTATCTCTAAATCCACATTTCTAAAATCATTTAGGAATTGATCAAAGATATCATTGTAGAAATAGACGGGTGGACCTGTATTCTTAATAAGTAGCCACCCATTAAAGATTTAACACTTTTCTTGAAGTTTAAAGAACTTCTTAGACTTGTCAGCAGTAGCAGTTGAAAGGTACTCCAAATTAAGAGAAATTTAACTGTCTTCATATGTTCTACAGTGAAGAAAAAATAGAATTAAAATAATTAAAATGTACCACTATGTGAAAAGATGCCATTTGGATATTAACCTTCTTGATATTTCAATTGTTTCAGCAAAAGTGGTAGTGTTAAGTATTCTTTGTTATTTTAATAACAAAATAATTACTGACTGAAAATTTTTGAAATCATTTTTCTAGTGGCTTTCTACTACATTCAATATCAGGATAATCAGGATTAAGGATTATATTGCATACAGCTGTATATATCATCCTATGAAATACCCTAATAAATACAAAATCTTGTTAATGAAAGTGTTTATTAAATAAAGGGACTTTCCACATTAAGAATATAAAGAAAATATACTTACTAGTTTTTGTTCGTTATTTTTATTATGTTGCCTTATATTGAGAAAGTGCTTTAATTTTGGCATGGTAAAGGTGATTGCAATAAGTAGTCATAAGATATTCAAGATAAACAAACAAAATATAGTACAGTCAAACTTTGATATAATAATATTTCCTAAAAATTTTATATATATTCTGACATATCATAATATAAAAGTTATACTATCTGATATATTTAATTTATATATATCTTTGTTATTAGATTTGATAATTTTGTTTCTGATTCATTTTACCTTTGAAAAAAAAAATTTAAAAAGAAATTAATAATTAATTAATCTTTATCTTGTAAAAAAAATAAACAAATTATATTTACCAAATGCAAATATGATATTTATATGTCCACACATATAGTGGAAAAATAAAATTTTACTGTATATCAAATATTGATATATCAAAGTTGTATTCATAAACCTGTTTATAAATGCTGATGCCTATAATTTCCTCATAAGAGTTGTCACATCAAATCATCATCACCAAATAAAAGGTAGTAATAAAGGGGATTAAATCTACCTTGAATAAAGAAATCAAGAACTATGATGTAATAAATGACATCATATACCCAGTTTATACTCATATGATAGGAGTGATTAGTGTTACTGTCTAATTCCTGATCCTACTTCTATAATTTTCCTAATTTCTACATTACCTACAACTTCTAATTCTGTTATATTCATGCTTGGTATCTGGCAGTTACATTATTTCCCCCTTTAAAACTTTGTGTCCTTACAAACTAATTAAATTAAATTCTAAGCTTATCTATTATCTATATATTTCAAGAAGAATTGAACTGACTTTTACTGTGCCTCTCTAAATATTCCTCTGATATACTTCATTAACTATTTTGCTGTGCTCTACTGTGCTTTATCACATGACTTACTGCGCCTCATTTATTACTTCAGATTTCCAAAATTTTCTTATTTGGTATTAATCTATTATTTGGTAATTTCTAATTAATTATTTGGTTCAAAATTCTACTCTCTCCCCACTATAGGTAAATGATTTTTTTAATATTGTCCTCAAAATATTTTTCCACTTTATTAATATTTCTAGATCTGAATTCTCATTGGACCATTTTCTGTGCCTCTAAAACTTCCTGTTGATTTTCTTATTTCAACATTTTTGTTGATCATTCACTAATTAATTGCTGAGACTTTTTAATGACTCAAAATTTTGCTCCTATTATAATTTGATGGTTTTATCTCTTTTTTAATTTCTTTTTCCGGAAATTGTTATATTTCTCTTCATTATTTCCCTTGTAATATTTCTTCTTATAATTCTTTAATTAATCTTTTCTCTTAGTTATCCGCAGTTTCTTTTCTTAGAATTTTCAAATTTCTTTGTGACTTTCTTGTAATCATCTTATGATATCTTTATAATTATCACTGTGTTATTTTCATGATTATCCTGTGATATTTCCACAATTATTACTTTTATATATTCCTTCTTAATCATCACTTTATTCAGAAATTCCTATGGTATTTTTGTACTGGATTTCTTTTAGGTCTTTTCTCAAAATCCCATTAATTTTTCCAATTTTCTCAAATTATTCTTGGTCATATGATATACTCATATACCATTAAATTTAATTAATGTGGCTATTTTTCATCATAAGAAAAATGCTAAAAGGATCAAAATTACTATTCTAAGGGTAAAATTTAATTATTAATTCTTCTTCAATAGAATAAATTTAATTTTGAACTTGGTCAAAATCTAGTCCTATTTATAAGTTTTTGATTGTTAATCTTTCTAATAATTCCAGCCATTTTTCTTTTCAATGTCCTTTTTGCAATTCTGGTAAATTCCAAATTCCTCTGTAAAATTTGTTTATCTATCCCTCATCTTCAAGGTGTAATATTCCTAGATATTTTCTAACCATTTTCCTCTTAATTTTGAATATTTCTTTGATTTATTTTGATTATTCTGTAATAATCTCCCAACATTTGTTAATTCCTCTATAGATATCGTAATTATCCTCTCATCATTCTGTTGTTTTAGTTCATCTTTTAATCAAATTATCTCATTAAGTATTTTATTGAATATTTGTTTTATTTTAATTTGACTCCTCATGGTTATTTCTGATATTTTAATTTGATCTTGCTCTTTTTATAAATATTTCAAAGTCTTTTTCACAACTCTGGCAAGTTTCTTTTCTATTACTATTAAATCTATTTTTTCCAATTTCTATTTTACAATTTCTATATTCTCTTGTATTTTCTATTCCTTGCTGTAAAATTTATCTGTCTAATCCCTTTAATATCCTCAGTTTATATTCATATTCTTCAGCCTCTCTTGTTTTTTCTAGCCATTCTTTTACTTGTTTTTCTTTTTCTTCTGTCATTTCCTTATATTCATACATTATTTTTGGTGTATATAATTCCATTATTTTAATTTCCTTCTCATTAATATTTTCCATTGTTTGTGTATTTGGGTTATAATTCTTTTTCCTCCTTGTTCTGTTTGGATATTTTTGATATACTTTTGCATTTTCTAATAATAATCTCCTTTCTTTTCGCAATCTTAGTGTATTCATTTTAATTTTTAATTGTTCTTCTTTCCTTGAGTTCGAATCTGATTTTTAAGTTAAAATCAAATCTATTTATAATGTTTTTTCCATATTCAATCTCCTGTAATTTTCTTTTATAACCCCTGATACTAAAATTCATCTAACTCATCATTTCCTCTTTCTATTGCTTTTACTCTATCTATTACATATTGTCTTTCCTCTTTATTCATCCTGGTAATAATTGTCCATCCAAAATTTTTTATTCTTATAATTCTTCCTCTTCCTCTGATTTTATTGAACGTTTCATAAACTCTAATTGCTTTTGCTGTATTATTCACTATTGTTCTATATTGGTAATTCTTAATGAGATCATCGTCAACTATAAAGTAACATTTGATCAAAAGTAAAACATTTCTATTTATGATATCATATATGATGTACCATCTGATGGTAATATACTAAAGCTAATAAGGAATGAAAAGACATATGATGAATATTTTTGTTGGGATGACATTATTGAAAAAATGATGAAATGTTAAATTGTATATCGTGAAGTAATTGATAAATTGATAAAAAATTATCAATTTATTTTGTTATTGTGATTTTTCGTACTAAAAAAGTTTTATGTCATATGATTTGATTGCTTAAAATAATTTATTTGAAGTAATTTATTAGAGTAATTTAACGTGATACATACTTAATTGATTATCGTCAAATCAGCATTTCCCACGGTTTGCTCGTCCTCTTGATTTCTTTAATATTGAACGTAAAACCCATAAATAATTTCATTTATTTTTTCCCTTTCACGTAAACCTACCTTATGGAAGAATAAGAATTCAAAAATATTCATCTTTAGAATTTGCTAAAGGTATATAATTAGGTAGAATAATGTTGACTGGCTTTAAAGTAGTGTTAGCTTTAGAGTGGTATTTGACTTTGGCAGCTTAGGGTTAGGGTAAGAAGAGTGGGTTTAGGTTAGGTGCGTTATCTTTAGAGTAGTGTTGGCTTGGAGTAGCTTAAGGTTAGAGTTGGTTTAGGTTAGGTGCGTTATCTTTATAGTAGTTTTGGTTTGGAGTAGCTTAGTAGGGTTAGGGTAAGGAAAGTTTGTTTAGATTAGGTGTGCTATCTTTATAATAGTGTTGAGTAGCTTAGGGTTTGGGTAAGGAGGGTTAAGGTTATAATAGTAATCATTTCTAACCTTCTTTTTATTGTATTACATTTTTTTTTGTAGACAATTGTAATGATGTTTGTGATGTAGCGATCTTGTCTAATATGAATGAATATGTGCTATTATATTCAAAAAGAAATTTCACTTACGGAAAGATTGCGAAGTTTTTATAAATTATTGGAATAAATGACAAGAGTTTAAGATCATGTATATCATGAGGGAAGAGTCGTCCATCGCCATGTTTTCACTAAAAACACTACTGTGAAAAAGATTGATTGTTCATTTATTATTATTATTATTATTATATATATATATATATAGTGTTTCAACTGTTTCATGTCCAGAATTGAACAATCCTGAAATATCAACAATATTGTTGTTGAAATTGTTGTATCTGTTCGTTTTACAATACATTGTTATTTTTTATATTGAACTTAGTACTTATTTTACCCTAACTAGGAATAATGTTCGGTTGGAATAATTTGGTGGGAATAATTGGGTGGGAATAATTAATTAGAATGTATGAATAAAAGAATGCATTGACATGTATTAATAGGATACAATTATGTTAATAATAATTAATTTACTCAAATAATATTGCTATATTTTAACTAATAAAATCACATGATTAATTCTTTAAACACGTGACATTTGAGGCCTAGCGATATATTGCCATAGCGATAGATAAAAAAACCAAATTTATTATTTTATTAATGGTTTTCTTTGTCTAATTTTATTTTTAAAATTATTTTAACAATAGATCCCAATAAAATTAATCAAGAAGAAGATAATTTGAATAATGAAGTTTTAAATTATTAATAATGCTTTTTTTGGAAATAGTTCAGAATATTATTTAATAAATTTTAGTATTTAAGAAAATTTTTATTAACTTAGTTTATATTTTTTGTTTAATGTTATATCTTAGCGAAAATTTTTTTGGCAGGTTCTCAAGATTCGAGACATTTAAAGATTTTTTTTTTTAGAAACATTCCGTCTGTTGAAACAAGTAATATTTCAATCTTAGTAAACGCGGTAAAGATAATATAATTTATTAATTAAAACCTTCAAATGTTTTTTTAATATTGGATTTAATATTAAAAAAAATGAATTACAGTAACTATCATACCACTATATCATATGAATATACTTAACAGTTAATGTTAACGATAACGTACTTTTTAAAGAATCTGAAATGAAATTGGGAATTTTGGCCGTTTATTCAGTTACATAGGCGTAATACAGTAGCATCTTCACTTAAATATTTCTAATATTATAAATACTTTAATATGAAAATTAAATGTAATTATAGAAACAAGGAACAATCATCATATCCCTTTAACTTATTCACCATAATATTAAAGATTTCACTTTTTCAAACGAGAGATTACTACGGATTTCCTTTATTATAGTTATAAAGAATAAGGGAGCAATAATTAACGATATTACATATAGTAAAAAGTGCTTTAGATCTATTCCGACAGAATATATTGACGCGATTGTGACCGAAAAAATTCCGAATATCATTAAAATTATAGAAAAGCCTGATCTCCGAATCAGAGTGTTTCTCCTTAACTAAAAAATGATCGTATCATGTAAAAAATATACAACCTAACCGAGATTAAATCGGTTCATCACATTATTTGTCATCAATAACGCTGTGTCCCGCTACATTTAAAGCTTTTCGATTCTTTATACGAACGGATCAAATTGTTAATTGTCAATTAGGAAATAAAGTTAAATTATTCATATCAAGAGAGGGAAAATAATAAAAGTGGTGTGGGAAAATATATCGTATCTTTTCGGTTCATCATCGTGCTGTTTTACATCACTATACAAACATTATTAACAGTACATTTTAATACGTTTCATTTGATAATTAGCGTCAATTTAATATTGTATACTACTACAAGTTAATGAATAAATTCTTTATACATATAAAAAGTCGTAATGAATAACATGTATAATTTACACATAATTATTGCTATACTTTATTATTTATAGAATAATAATAACGTGCACTTAAAACTAATAATAATATTTTTTTTAAAAAAAATATTAATATATTGATATGCATATAATGTTAAAATATTTTTATAAGATATTCCCTATAGGATCAATTTGACCGATAATTTCATATAGTTTTTTTGCGTACACTAAGTATCTGCAATATTTTATTCAAGAATGGTATAAAAACATAAAAATTATGATCCTCGCTAAATGGACCAAAAGATTCAATTTATGAGATAAGAAAAAGTTTGATTAGTGGTTCATGAATGGGTAACATTTGATAGATTTTAAAGAATTGTTGATGAATTTTCCAAAGTGTATTCTGTAACATGGACTGATGGTAAAGTCAAATCAATTGATCACATCTGAATATTTAATGGTATAACTTTTTTTTATAATTGTTTAATTATTAATGAGATTTACTAAAGGTGAATCAATAAAGATGATAATAGTTTGACTCTAGAGACTATAGTTCAACCGCCAGTATAATTCTTGCGGCCTAGTTTATTTTATGTACTGTATTTATTGGTATTATATATTTGCAAAATATGGACTTTTGATACCTAGCCAAATATGATTGATTATAAGTTTGATTTCGGATCATTCGATGTACAGTACAGTAAGCCGAAAAAATAGAAAATTCTAGAAATTAAAAAATAAATAAAGAAATAAAGAAATATCATTTAATTTAAAAAATTATTTTAATCGAATGTATGTATCTTAAGAAACATTTTAAAACACTACAATTTAATTTTATCCGCTCTTATCAATCTATATGTTACGAGTTAAATCGTGAATAATAGAATCGACTTATCTCAATACAATGATCTTTCGATAATATAATGGAAATATTATTATTGATAATATGGATATGATGGAGTTTAACCAAAAAAATAACGATCGGTTTCAATACTTTAAATGGTTTATACGTCTTTTAGTATAGTATATCATATTCTTGGGCAAAATTGTATCTATAAACAAAGAAATCTAATATAATTTTTTTAAAAAAAAAGATTAACTTGAAAAATAATGTCATTCTGTTGATTATTTTTAATTAGTTACAATTATCAAAAAAAACAATTGTTTACCCAATAAAATTAAATGGCTTTAATTTCAAGCTAAAGCTAAATGTTTTAAATTATTGAGTGCTTAATTATTTTAAAAATTATACTCGATTAGTCTTTTATCATAAATTTCATAAATAAAAAAAAAATTTCAGCTTAATAAAATCGCTAATGCGAAGATTGCATCTGTGATCACTTAATCAGGTGATGGATTGATTGATTAATATTCCACAGAATGAATATTAAAAATTTTTTAAAGAAAACCATAACAAAATATGATGATTAAATAAAGCAATAAAACTGTAAGATATTATAAAAATTATTTACGCGTCAACGTAATATATTTTATTACAATTTGCTTTTTTATTATTTTATTCTGTTTTTAAAACATCCCACTTCGCCACATATAATAATTTAGTGCCATAAACTTTGTTTCAATACTTATATGCTATTAGTACATATCATAGCAATTTTTTGTGCGACATTCAAATAAAATTTTATTTATCAAGATACGACAATGTTTTAATATACTGTGATTATTGAATTGTTAATAGATAATCGTTATTCAAAGTTAAAATAATAAAGTGAAGCTTTTATAATTTTATTGTTTTTATTGTCATTGTTAGAAGTGCAAAGAGTTTTAGAGTTATAATTAATTATACAGATAAAAGTTTATTATGTTATAAATTAAGTAGTGAGGCTCAAAACAACAAATTTCTTTGCAACTTCAAACATTCACAAGGTGGTACTCGAATAACTCGTAAAAAAAGCTGACATGTGACCTGTGATGTGACGTGGCTTTATCTCGTGTAACATTTAGCGGCTTTTTTTTCAATTTTTCAATAAAAAACGAAGTTTAAACAGAACTTTAAAAATAACTTTATTCACGCTTTATTGAACAAAGTATACACTTTTACCCATATTTTTTACATATTTAATAATATTAAATGTAATAAAATTTTCTATATATAAGGAAAAAATATGAAATACGAGTTTGTACTGTTATAAAATGTTTATAGCTCCATCAACGTTTATAAAAATATTATATGGTTAAAAAAACTTTAAGATTATGTAAAAAAGATAAATAATAAAATGATAAAAGATAAAAAATATAATAGAATATAGGTTTTTAAAAGATAACATATGTATATAAACTGATGAATTATTTACAGAAGAAAATAAAAATATGAAGACAAAGTTTGATTCACACTTTGATGACCGCATGGAAGAAAAGGAATATTGTGTTCAAAAATCGCTAAAATAAGCTAATCCATTTTATAACAGGTTTTTTTACGATTGACATTTTTTCTTTGGCATTTTGTATTATTTTTGTTAAAAATAACGAAACTAACAACTTTAAAAGAATACGAATTATCCTACCTCATGAACCATAGAATTAATTTAAAAAAGAAATTATGAAAATAAAGTTGAAAACAATATATTTTTTTACGTCATCTAAGTATTAAATAAAAAAATTTTTATACGGACCACTTCAATAGTTTTTTAAGACATCCTAAATTTATAATAAGTAATTAGCATTAACTGATTTCTATCCAACTAGTCTTAGTGATCAATAAATTATTGAACACCTTTGTCTAATAAACTTCTAACAATCTAACTAATCTATTCAATTTATTAATCTGGTTATTATTACATATAATTATATACTGTCAAGTTAGGTATATAATACATTTATTTATATGAAATCAGTTACAAAGTTACAAAGCAATACATAATAAACCATAGTAAACTATTGACAATACAGCAAGTAAAAAAGTATAATGAAATTAAGGAATGTAAAATGTTAAACCACAAATAGAACTCCTGATCTGTTCCCTCCTTTCCTACCAACTGCGGTATCTGAACTCTAGACTTCTTTTGCCAAAGGCAGCTCGTTTTCTGTCTTCACCATAAGGCAACTCATATTCTGTCTTTTGACTGCGGTATCCGAGTTAGATTGCGGTCTCCGAGCTCAAGAAAATCCGTCTAAAGACAATTCATATTCTGTGATAGGTCCGGCCAGTCACTTCTGTTTCAGTGAAGTAAGATCTTCAGTAGCACTTATGCCGTTCCCCTGATGTCTCCTTTTTGTCCTTGAAATGATCAATAATTTTCTATTGGTTTGATCATCAAAAACTTTGCATGATTTCATACAAATTTAATGTTTGAACCTCTAATATTTAACATAGTATAAACTCAGAGTATTATGTAAAATAATTTTGATCATAACAAAAAAATATCCTGAAGTGAACATTAAGTCCGTCGGACACTCACATGCAATGTCTCTGCTTTATAGATGGGCTATAATTTTTTCAGAGTATTGTATCTTTCTTAATTTTATCAATTTTAGGACGTATATAAAATAATAATTATATCATTTATATCATTTATTCCATTAAAAAGAACGTCATAATAATCATTAAAAATAATCACATGTTTGAATTTCATTATTTTATAAAAGTAAAGTTTCAAATCTATATATTTTAGTTTCATTATCTAGAAAAAAAAAAATATGAATTTATTATATGGTATTCAATATGTTTACCTATTTTACATTATGTTAAATATTATTAAATCTATAAATGGTAAAATTTTTTATATCATCTTCATCGATATAACTAAATTCTTTCGAATCATACTTTTATTAATAATCTAAATTATTCTTGGATACAAATGTAACATGCAAATCTATTTTGATCATTATCTTAGCGTCTTTTCAGCTTAAAGTTATTGATGTCAACTTTGTTATATGCATAACTTTATTATTAACCTCTTTTACTAATTCACTTAATTCACTCCAAATACATGATAATCTGCGTGCACACGCATGCCTTTGCCAAAGCAGCAATAAAAATAAATCTGTAGGCTTAACATCATAAAGTCGAAAAATAATCTGCTTTTGGTAAATTTATGAAAGCTTTTCTCTCGTATGTAAAGCTTGTGTAGCTTCTTATGAAGCTAGTTAAAAGTTTCTGAACTAATAGGATAAATACTGTAACTCCAAAAGCCAATTTGATAAGAATGCTAAGTATATTTATTGTATACAGGTTGACCTATAAATTAGTTGTAAAAAAAAAACTTAAAGTATATATATACACTCCAAGTATTTCCATAACAGGAACTTAAAAACACAAAAAAAAGTCTCGTATTGTTCTAACATACAATCTTTATTATCCTCATCTTACGCCTAAGTAATTTAATCATAAGTAATTTTTAAAAAAGAATTTTTAATAAAAATGCAAAATTAAAACTACCTATATTATTATCATTGCGAACATACAACTAACTGTAAGTAATATAAGGTAAAATAATTTATTGTTATACAAGTAATTATATTTAATCGTAACTTTTAAATATCGTCAAATATCATTATTTAAACAAAGTGAAGTTACATATGTTTGTCCATTGACATTATTCTTCGCAAATGCTGAAATTTCCATGTCACCAAAGGAAAGTCCAAAGGTAACTGGTCTATTATAACCTAAATGAACATCTGGAAGGTCAATTCGCAATTTCCCTACACATTCCATTCCAGTCTCATCACAATATCTTGGATCAGAATTAGAAGACTTATATATTTCAAAACTAAATTCCGTTTGACATGGAAGAAGAGGTACATGTTCATACAAGCTAATTACTTTACCGACTTCTACTGCCGTCCCTCTCTTCACTAAAGGATTAAATTTAAAAATTTTTCCATCAGGAGTTCTTCTGTCAGGAGAGTCACCTTTCTTCCAATCCAAGCACACTTTAATTCCATAAGTATATTTAAGAACCCTTGCGGTGATACAAGCCGCATAAAATGCATATTCATTGCTAGTACGTGGTGATTTTGTAAGTAGTAATCCATAAATAACAGCTCCATGTGCAATTGCTGCTATAGGTTGAGCAGGAACTGAAAAAGTTTTCACTGTATGATTAAATTCTTGCTTAATTCTTTTCTGAAAATATTGATTTTCACTAAATCCTCCAACTAAAAACATTGCGGAACAAGCTTCTTGAATATTATCAAGTTGTACATGTATCAAACGAATAATTCTTTCAATTATAGGATCAAACATTAACTTTATGTCATTATATTTAATATTAATCATCCATTCATTTTCTACCATCATTTCCATGATTTCTTTATCGACATATTGCAATAAACCTGGAGCAATATCTTTAATATCTAGTTCATAATTAAATTCTCTATTATCTCCTGTAAAAGGTTCTTTTACATTTTTACAGAATTCTTGAACCAAAAATTGAAATTGATCATAATTATTTTCTCTTAAGAGATTTATAGCTCGAGCTCCAAGTCTTTTACGTAAAAACTCAATAAATCCTCCGTCTATAAATGTACTTCCACTGTAGTCCCTAATGCGTGCAGTAACCTCACCTAATCGAAGTGGATTAATTCCAACTAACTTGCGAGTAGTTAAATCAACAGTATAACCACCACAGTCAACAACCATAAGTGTCACTGATAATAATTTAATTAGTTAATTATTCCTTTAAGATAATTAAATTCATTATAATAACTTACTTCCTAAGTTATATTCCTGTAATTCATTTAATTTATTATTCATACAATAAATTGCTGCAGCTTCAGCTGTAAATAAAAATTAGTTTATTAGTTAAAACACTAGCTTTTTAAATTCTTCTTACATTACTTACATTCCGTGATAAATTCTAGATTTTTCGAATTTTTAACATTAATAAGACCTGCATTATAAGCACATTTTCTCATAATACTTTTATCTTTTTCTGAATATTCTGCAGGAACAGAAAGAACTAATAAAACATTTTCGAAGAAATTAACACTCCAAGCAATTTTATCTTTAATGACCTTAAATTTCATTTAAATAAAGTTAATTAGTATTAAAAAAAATATTACTTGGATTACGCTATAACTAATTTTGATTCATACCTTTCCAATTTCTCTAAGATAATCGGTAATAGCCTTTTTATGATCAACTGGAAGTCTTGGTTTTAAACGTTTATCTAGGTTGCCCAACCATAATTTGAATAATTCAACAGGCTTATTTCTTTTGATTCGGCGATTTGGTTTTCTGGCTAAAGCTGAAGCACCCCAAAGCACGACATCATTATACTTATCATCATATTGAAGAACTGTATTTGTTTTAAACTGGGTAATTTCTCCAGGCCATATTTCATTTGAACATATATTTTGTTTATTAGCAACATGGCAATAAGAGAATCCAGAACATGTTGTTCCAAAGTCTAACCCAACGACGACTTTAATATTAGAATAATAAGGCAGTGATTCATCTGGATCTTTTTTAGGGTACAAAATTAAATAATATTCCGAAAAAAATTTAAAAAAATATACTACGATAATTACATACTTTTGTTTGAAAAGCTTGCCAAGAAATCTTCATTATTTTCTTTAAAAGTTTTAATAATATTTTCATCAATTTCTTCTAATTTCAATACACCTAAATTTTTATCAATACTTTGAGACATCATTTCAAGCTTTTGTAATTGTTGTAATTCTTCATTTCTTTGATTTTCCAAATTTAAAACATATTGTTGAAATTCTTTAAAATTTTTTTCTTTTTCTTCAAGTTTTTCTTTTAATTCAGAATTAATTCGTGAGACTTCTTTATTTTTTTCAATTAAACTTGAATTTATACGTGAAATTTCTTGATTTTTTTGTAAATTTTCTTGATTTTTATCTTCAAGATTTTTACATTGTTGTTTAATCCTTTGATTCTCTTCTAATAAATTAATAAATTTATTATTTAATTCATAATAACTAAATCCAAGTTTTTCAATAACTTTAAGAGGTTTATCAGAAAACAATTCTTCAGAAGAATTATCTTTTGAACGTTCATTAGCCATAATAAACTCTTTTTTTTTAAAAAAAAATTTTAAGGAGTACATCGTCGCACATGTCGCACAACTGATTACTCAGCGTAACCAGCCGTAACCTGCAACCTGCATCATAAATATATATTCACCTGCATCATATTGTACCACATATACTAGGAGTTTAGACTTCGATTGTACATCACTAATATTTTTGAAAATATACTGTAATAAGTTACGCAGTAATGGGTTTTTCGGTTAGTGATGTAATGATTGATATACGTCCACAGAAATAGTATATAAAATTTGACGTCATATACAAGATTACGTGAGAAATTATTGCAAACACATGTCTATTTTCTATACTATCGGAGTTTACATGTTTGTAAAATGACTCATCATGGTTAAGTAAAATATAGTATAAAATAACCACTTTTTTCTCTTTATTCTCTTCAACTCCTCTCTCCTTTTTTATTCCTTCTCGCTTTTCTTTTTCTTTTATTTATTTTTTTCTTGCTAAGTATGGTAATAGGTAAGGTGCAACCAACTCCACATCTCATTTTAAACCGTAGGTACGATCAACTTCACGTTAAAAACTTTAAAAAAGTTAAAGCCATACTTAAACAAATTTTTCTAATAAAATTGAGTCGAGAAACCTGTGTTTATTGCTCGTTCGACTTTCCCACATTACGTATATATACGTACGTATTTTATGTATGTATGTACATAGTACGTATTGTGTATATATGTAAACCAAATAATTAGATGGGGGGATGAGAAAGCTTATTTTTGATTTTACAAAAATAATTTCTTTCTTGTTCTGATGC